TTGCAGTACTTTTGCACATAGTTGTCGCACGCGATCTTCTGCGGCAGCGTCGTCGTCACCGCACACGGCGTCGTCGTGGCGCAGGGCCACGTATTGCCGGTCTGGAGGTTGGCGCAGAAGGGACACACGCCCGGGTTGGGCATGTCGAGCACGTAGCCCGTCTGGTGCAGGCAGCGCTTGCACGGCGTGCCTTGCGCGTAGCACTCCCAGTTGAGATTCGTCTTGCACGCCGTGCAGCCGCCGGTCGCCGTCACGTTCGGTCCTTCGTCGCACGTTTCAAGCCACGACACAATGCCGTCACCGCAGACGCTCAGATCACTCTTGCATGCCTACAGCACCGAGGAACGTTCAACGAACTATCCGTATATGGATGACGCAGCGTACCGGGTCCCACGGATTGGCGTTGCAGTAGGCAAACGACGTGGTGACGCACGACGCAATGTTGTCGCCGAGATCAGTGACGAGCGCGTTGCAGTCGGCGCGCGCCTGCGTGAGGCTGGCCGACCACTGAAACGGCGTCGTGGGCGGTCCGGCGCGGTTCTTGGCGTACGCCAAGTTGTCGGACGCGGGTTGGAAGTAGCGCTGCGTAAACATGGCGTTGACAAAGAGCTTGCGAAAGTTGGCGCAGACGCCAGTGTTGCGCACGCAGAGCGGCGCCGCGTTGACGGCTGCGCACGCACTCGACTTGCACGGGCAGTTGGCTTGGAGGTTGCAGTTGTACGGACACACTTGGTGGCAGCCGACATCGGAAGGGTTCTTGTTGCAATAGTCCACCAAGTAGTTGGTGCAGCCCGGAAACGACGCGGTCGTCGACGCCGTGAGGTTGACGCCGGCTGCGCACACGCCAGGAATCTACGATCGAGAGGCAATTGAGGTCATTTGGAGGTGAAAACGGAGGTCGTACGAGCGCCGGAATGCAAAAGCTGCCCGAGCAGCCAATGTTGGCCGCAAACACGTTGACGATCTGGCGAAAGATGGACGATGCGTTGCACTGCGGCGTCGCACACGTGGCCGACGCGTCTGCAAATGGACACGCGATCGCCGAGTAGTTGGGCGTGATGGTCGGCTGCCCCATGAAGTAGCTGCACCCGCTCGGCGTGCAGCCCGAAGTGGCCACCGTTTGGGTGCAGCCCGGTGTGCCCGGCACGCAGCACGCTTGGAACGTCTACGAATACGCCATCAACAATCGATATACGCATGGGAGTGGTGTACGGAAGCAATGCACGCGGGACTTTGCTTGCTCAGTTGACACGCCGTCGACAGACACGGGTGACCTGCTGGCAGCGCAGCCACTTGGGCTGCCGTCAAAAACTCGCAGTAAAAGAGCGAATCTACGAGCAACCAATTGTTGAGATTGCGTTTGAGCAGGCAATGGAGGCGACCTTTGCACTCGGGGGCGTTGTAGCACTGCTGGCCCACGCCGGCGCAGGACAAGCAAGGCGAAGTTGTACTTGCTTGTTGGCACGTAGTCGCGTCACCGACGCTGAGCTGCGTCAATGGCAGCGAGCACTTGACGTTCAGGTTGCACGTACTCGACGACGAGCATGTCGCGCCTGTGTCACGAACGAATTACGTTGCCAAACTCAATTGACGCTAGGATGTACCGTAAGCCGTAGGGAACAGACCGACGGCCGCAGCGACAAGCGACAGCCAGCGCATGCAGATCGGAAGTGGTCGCTCTTGCGTAGGACGGGGCAAATTCAAGAACGAGCTTGCTTCGCGCGATGATGTGCAAGGCCGTTTCGCCCTTCGAAATTCAAAATAGCCGTCTATTTTCGAGCGCTTTGCAAAAAGGGTGGCTCCCCACTAAACACTTGGCTCTACTAGTAGTATTTTCTATTATGAGGAGTACACTTCTAATAATCTCTGGTACTGGCTCACGTTCACGAGCAAAAGTGCTTCTACGAGCGAAGAAGAACATTAGAGACGATCGCCTTTTGAGCGACGTACCATCGTCCTGCGTTCACAGTCATATATGCATGAGCGCTATAAGCAGGGAATGGCGAGAAGCCTCATGCGGCGCATAGCCCAACGCTGCGAAACTCTATATTTATTGCTAGTTGGCTCGCCGCATCTGATAACACGGAGACCAGTGGCATCCCCACGTGATGAAAGATCGCACCCGCGGTGAACCGGTGGCTTGACACATGCTGTTTGAGACCAATGTGATCCACAGTGCCACCGCTAAGGAACTTTCAAGTGCAGTTGATATGTATAAACAAGCGGACGAAAACTGCTGGTAGAGGGTTGTCACTCGTCGTCTTCGTCGTAGACAGTCAAGTCGACCTTGATCTTGTTGCCCTTGACGAGGTCGTCGTCATCGTCGTCTTTGATCAGGTAGACAACTTTGTCCACAAGGAACCTAGAA